CCTGAGATTTTAGTTAGTATTTTTCCTAATGGAAGTAACTGATAGTATCACTTACGAAGCTGTCTCCTATTTCTGGTTTTTCTTAATTTATGAACAATGGTGATTCTGTGGTTTTAAAATTGTATTCATTTCATAATAAGTTGGGAATTCTTGTGGATTATTTTCAGATGATAAACATGTTTCCTCAGTTATCTTACTTTTTTGCTTTTGAAATTATATTTATAATAATTATGCCAAAATTTGCAAGCACTTTGAAAACTTTGAATTATCTTATCTTAATCTGTGAGATATCCCTTAAGCTGTACATTCCGTCTTATTCCCACAAATAAGATGAAATGGCTTATGTAGTGTCCCACAGCAGTAATTGTTAAGTGTGGGGTTCTAATTCATGTTTCCAGATTTGGAATGACTGTGCTCTTTTTCTGATTTACTGTTTTCATGATCCTCACTGATTAAAACTAGAAGAGTCTAGATTCACCAACATCTTCTTTTCATTGCTCCTCATGAAAGAGCCCCAAAACCAACCATCTCTTTCACTCTGGGTCTCTTTATTCTACTATTAACTATCTTCACCCGTTCTTTTAACAAGAAGTTATTGAATTTCTGTAGGAAATTTAGGAATTTAGGAAATTTCTGTAGGACCCAATTTATGCTCAGTATATGTATGTATTTTTCCAGTTATTTCCTTATTTATAGTTGTTCCATGCTTTACCCAAATGATTTATGGGAACTTCAAATCTATGTGAAATATAGCAAAGTAATATAAATTAGAAGTTACTGATACAGAAAGCACATATATACACACACAGTAAAAAATATAAAATGCACTCCAAAATGAGACTCAGGAAGTCCTAGTTATTTTTCAGGGTTCTCTGTATATTGAATATATGGGAAGCCATGAAGTGATTAACCTTAAATTAAAATGTGACTTTTAGTAATCATCCTGAGAGCAAATAAACTGGACTACATCTAATGTGTATCTTTTTTTTAAAGATTTTATTTATTTATTTGACAGAGATCACAAGTAGGCATAGAAGCAGGCAGAGAGAGAGGAGGAAGTAGGCTCCCTCTGAGCAGAGAGCCCAATGCGGGGCTCGATCCCAGGACTCTGGGATCGTGACCTGAGCCGAAGGCAGAGGCTTTAACCCACTGAGCCACCCAGGCGCCCCTCTAATGTGTATCTTAAAAAAAAACTGAAGAAGGTATTTAAGAGGTAGTATCCATCAGAACAGTATTTAAGCAGCAAGAATATAGAAGCTGACCAATACATGATGATGATGGTGATGAGATGATACTGGTATTTATTTGGATTTTTACCTAGTGTATGACTGGGGACTGGGCAATTTTGGAACCTAAAGAATTTTTTTTTTTTCTATTTTTCTGTCAAGTGTTAATTGGTTCTCAGGTTGCCTAAAGTTATATTTAATATCATTAACTTAGTATTAATGGTTGTCATAGGAGTCTGAATTATTTTGTCATGAGCATATTATATTGTTAAGTTGCAGATGAGAGTAGCATTCACTGATCACTTCTGTGTCTTTGGTCTGGAAGTGTTTCTTATTCGAGGAAGTAAAATCTTCAGAGTCAGAACGGATGGAGTCCCAAGTACTTCCTCTTAACGTTCTCAGGATGTGAATATGTTGAGGACTAGAAATTACTTATTGGTCTTTCTTCTTAACATATGTTCCTTGATCTTGCGTTAAATATATATTGACAGAAACATTATTTTAATTATTGAGGCACAGTCCTGATGAGTTATATGTCTGTTGAAGACATTCTTCATGTGTCTTCAATCAACCATCTGACAGAAACTAGAGCAGAGGACTAAAGTGACATTTGAGAATTTATGGTTAAACTTAATTTGCATGTGGCAGTAGTCAGTTTACAAAGACAGAGTGATGGGTGAAGTCATACATTAAGGAGACAGATTCAGTGTGATCCGTGTCTGCAAATCAAAGTGGGTGTACATTGCAGCTCAGGCTTTTGGGGGGATTTTTGTTGTTGTTGTTGTTAATTTAGTGGGTCATGTGAACTTTCAAAAGACACAAAGCTAAACAGAAAATACGCTTTCTGATACATAATCCTAAAACAGCAACTCGAATATACATCAGTAATGTTTGTAGTATTAAACTGTCAGATGGCAGAGATGGAGAAAAACTAATTTAGTTATAGATGAACTATTCCTACTCCTTTCCTTGGTGCCATCAAGATACTATTATTGCCCTTTCCCTCTCCCTCTCCCCTTCTCCAGACTCCTCTTGTCAGTTACCTTCTCTCGGAAAATGGATGGCCTAAACTGGAGGTCATCCTTAACCAAAAAAAAAAAAAACCAAAACCATGCAGATTGGCCTTGGAAGTTCTAAGAGAAGCTTTTGTAGCTGAATACTGTGGCATAAACATCCCAGGCACTGTGCTAAAAATATAACGACTTTGATGTTTTAGTTCAAGTCGACTAATTTGTAGTTACGGTAATTATACTTTAGTTAGGTCTTAAAAGATTTTCTATTTTTAGATAAACATACCAAGACACTTATGGATGAATTTATGTAATGTGTAGCATGTGCTTCAAAATAATCCAATGGTGGAGGGAGCAAGTGAAGGTATCAATGAAGCCAGATTGGACAAGAATTGATAATTGTTAAAGTTGGATGGTAGGTGCATACAGATTCATTAGACTTTGCTGTTTGTGCTTCTGCATAAGTTTGAAGTTTTCTGTAATTTTTTAAAAAATGTATGAATGAATGATTTATCTATTTAGGGCTCAGAGTACTACTTTCCAACCTTTGTGCATTGAAGACACACAGGGAACATCAGCTCTTTCCCATCTTGCTCTTATATATCAGATATACTATCTTTTTGAAATTATTTTACATAGATCTATAAGAAAATCCTATCACAGGCACAGAATATGGATCCCTTTTGACTTTAATAATAAGGGGATTTTATCTAGATGATAACATATTTCAACTATGCACTTGGCATTTAATGTTCTTGTCATCAAAAGACAGGAGAAAGATTTAGCTTTCCTTAAATATTTACTCCTGTGTTAGGAAATGTTAATGTCCTATAAAAGAATTAAGTCTTAGTTTTATCATCTATAAAATGATAGAGCAAAATTTTTAAGTTGCCTTGAAGCCTACCAGGTTAAGCATATATAGCAGTAAACGTCAAAGGATTTTGTATCAGCCTGCCTGTATTTCTACACCACCTTAGTTTACCTACTTTACTCTCCCAGCTTTCCTTCCCAAATTATCTAACAGTAGATGAATAAGGAAATGTTGTGTTTTCTTTTCATTGACTAGTGCGAAGAGCATTTGTTTTTCTTTTTTTGACACTGTGTGTGGCAAAGGGAGATGTTCACTTCATTAGTCAACAAAGTGATTAATTAGAATTGATTGCCTAATCAGGCTAGGCAACCTGAGAACCAATTAATACTTGACAGAAAAACAGAAAAAAAAAATTCTTCAGGTTCCAAAATTGCCCAGTCCCCAGTCACATGCTAGGTAAAAATCCAAATAAATACCAGTATCATCTCATCACTGTCATCATGGTCTGCTTCTGTATTCTTGCGCTTTAATCGGAATGATGTTTGGAAAAGAATAACCCACGGACCACAGGATCTGCCAGACGTGGATGCCCAGCAATTGTCCAGTAAGAGGAGAGCAAAAGTACTATTCCACTGGTGGTCAGAGCGTCAATGTGAGGCATGCAAATAACCAGTTTCCCGTCATACCAAGTGGGTGGGGCAGTTGAGTTAAGCACCGGATGGTTTCTTTAAGGGTGTTAGCTCTCTTCACATCCCTTGTTTCTTCTCTGAAATGGTGCCAATTCATGTCATTTTTGCCTTAAAATGACTTTATGATTTTTCCTTTTTTTTAAATAACACTACGAAACTCAGGGTAAAATGCAGAAACAGCAAAGTGGTGGTATCATTCCCCGTCGAGCTCTAGAAGTCAGCATTATGGGCAGGATGAGGAAACTTGTTGTATTCCCAGCCAATCGTGAATTCTTAATTCAGTTAGTTTTGAGAAATGGAATTGGGAGACTTTGAACAAAATCTTCAATAATTACCAATAAACGAGTTTCTGGCGCAAAACTATTAGCATGAATCTTTAGATCCTAGTATTATCTAGTCTGAAAGCATGATGAGGGGTAAAATTTAATATTTTACCTGGTAGTCTATTTCCAAATGAACTATGCCAGAATGACAGGCTTTCAGGACAGTTGATGGCTCCTGGATGTCTGTTTGCTTTATTTTTTTCCCACCGATTATAAATCAAGATTTTTTTAAAAACCTAGGCAATTAAATGGAAATATTTAGCCATAATTATATGCATAGGAAGTTTTCCAGAATAGTTTATTTAATTAATACTAGTACTTTATTTGTAATGAATTTTTATCAAAATGTCCTTTTTTGAATGTATTTTTGTTAAGATTTTATTTATTTATTTATGTGAGAGAGAGAAAGCAGAGGTAGTGGGAGAAGCAGGCTCCTCACTGAGCAGGGAGCTCAATGTGGGACTTAATCCCAGGACCCTGGGATCATGACCTGACTGAGCCGAAGGCACACACTCAACAGACTGAGCCACCCAGGTGCCCCCAAAATGTCTTTTATGGAATGTTTAATTAGCACTGGAGCCTTTTGGTAAAGAGGGAAATGATTTAATTTCTAGTTTTCTATAGGAGTCTCAAGTTTTGATACATTACAACTGTAAGTGAACATTCAGGAAAATAAAGTTGGGCTCCTTTTCTTTGGCACATCAAACTTTTTTTTTTTTTTTTAAGACAAGTTTCTCTTTGAAAATCTGAGTCTGCACATTTATCATATATTTTGTTGGCTCCCTGTTCTACTGTATTACTCCTTTAAGACAGATCTTCCTTCACTCTCGCTGCCTACCCTAAAACCTCTTGTTTGCAGCTTCTTATAGTTGAAGAACACTGGTACCTCACTGTTTTATTTGAGTAAAGACCGATCACATTTTGTTATCGTTGTTGTTTAGGAGTCAGACGGCCAGGGCTGCCCTTTCTGTCGCTGTGAAATAAAAGGAACGGAGCCCATAATCGTGGACCCCTTTGATCCAAGAGATGAAGGCTCCAGGTGCTGTAGCATCATCGACCCTTTTGGAATGCCCATGCTGGACCTAGATGATGACGATGACCGAGAGGAGTCCCTGATGATGAATCGGTTGGCTAATGTTCGAAAGGTAAAATGATAAAGCACAGGTTTCATCAGGGTGGTGTAGGGACATGAAAAAGGACTGATGCTGTCACACATAGGCTATAACTGAGTTGATTTGGGCTTGGGAAAGAAAGATGGAAGAATCAAAAGGAAAGTGAGAACCTAGGTAATGTTGACAAGCTGATGAAATCCTACACAGAAAGAACTAGTATCTACTCCAAGCACTCCTGCTGGTTTTAAACTTCAAAATGAGAGATAGTGAGAGCTTTCATATAGAATTAAACATAGTCTAAGACTGGCAAGAACAGATCTGTGAAGAAAAAATTAACAAGAATTAAGAAAACAAAATTTAAGACAAAATATAAAAATTGGAAATGATGAAACTGAATAAAAACAGTCTTTGTTGAAGTCTAAAGGAAGTATCTGTTTGAGTTATTTTCTTACCAGGAAAGCCAGTCTTCCATTATGTGACTGAGAAGTCACTGAGATTTACCTTTGTGAATTTCTCATAGTGTGCTTTGCTTATCAAAATTACTGACTCAGAAAATTGACTTTGTCAATTTACTGAGAATGGATGCTACTGCCCAGTTGGAGTAGCTGAGCTCACAAAAGACTAGTCAATGAACTAGAATGCCAACTGAATAATTTACAAGCCAGAAAGATAATGATTAAGAGAGCTGGACTCTTAGGTATCAGGTTATTCTATGCTATGCACAGAAAGATATATGAAATTTGGATTACACTCAGAAGTTCTGTGTTCTCAAAATCAGAGAAATGGCAATGCGTGGTATGAAAGGATCTGCAAATAGAGTGTGAAGGTGCCCCGTCCCAGCCCTCCTCCTGACTCATGGCAGACAGGGCTAATCAATCATGGCTCTCATCCCCGCTGAGGTCACAGCCTTATAGAACCTCCACAGTAATTCATTAGGACTTGGCAGGTGACGTGAAACCTATTTGCCATCTAGGTGGAGTGATAATAACATGTAATGGCATCAGATCGTTTGCATCTGTCTCCGTAGTGGGAAAACCTTTGGTGCAGGAAACAGAGGAAGCATTTATTTGGGTTACTGCTTCTTGAAGATACCAAAATTCATCGCTTGGGTTCCATGCTCAACAAAGACGTGTATACCCTTGGTATTTTTTACACGTGCAGATATATCACCATCACCAACATGGCTACTCTGACATTTTCCGTCTGAGATTATTTCTATTCTTCAGCTCATTTTTCATAAATGTCATAATTTAACTCCCAGAGAAACTATTCTTGATTCTACCCTTTAATCCTGACAACTTAGTTTTGAAGCATGTAATTCCTTTGACCCAAGAGATGGAAGAAAGGAAGTAGTTGTTCCTCAGTATCTTTTCTATGAGCAAAGCTTTTTTACATACTTTTATCCTCTGAATAACTTGCAGAGGTAAATATTCCTCTCATGTTTCAGATAAGGAAGTGAGGTGCAGACTACACATGCCACTTGGCTATGTTAGTAGGTTGTAGAGACCAGAGTCTAACTTATGTTTTCTGGATAACAATACAGCGATATATCCCAAACCACATGTTTCATTCTCTATCATGCTGAGTCATGAAATGGTTTCTACTAAGTCAGAGTATAGGGTGTATGCTTGAACAGTCCTCATACAATATTAATTTTAATTAATAGTGATAATAAAATAGTAACATTGATGATTTCAGTCGCAGGGCACTGTTCTGGGTTCTTAAATCCTTAATCTCATTTGATTATTTCACCAATCCAATGAAGAAGCTAGTGTTACTGTCCTATTTTACGACAATTGAAACTGAGGAAGAAAGGGGTGAAATTGCTTGCCTAAGATCCCAGCAGTACTCTAGAGCAGAACCAATACTTTATTCCAGACCTTCTTAACTTCAAAACTCCAGTTGTGAGCCATCACCCCGTATGCCTCTTTTGCCCTCTTTGGATCATGTCACATACATTGTACTTGATAGAGTGTAACTACCTATCCTCTGGGTTCTATAATATAATGTATATCATGAATAATGACTGACCCCCCAATACAATTTTAACCAGAAGTTAAAAATAATTTGATCTGGTGATAAAAACATAAAACTCTAAAAATGTTTATGCCCTATAAAAATATTTATACCCACACCTACCTAATGGGTCACCAAAAACCCAAGCACATTCACTTAAGACCTGCCAATTGATAATATGATGACTATTAAAACTGTTTTCTGGTGTACTAGCCATATGTGGCTGATTTAAATGTAAATTTAAAATAATTAAAGTTTAATAAAATGTTCCTCAGTCCCCTTGAACATATTTTAAATGCTCAATAGCCACTTATGTCTAGTGGCTACCATATTGACCTGTACAAATAAAGACCGTTTTCTGTAGACATTATTGATATAATAAAAACATCTATTCTTCAATAGATAATTCTGTTGAGCAGAGCTTTGTTAGATCATCCCTGTAGATTCTTATTGGAAGAAGCTAGGTCTTGATGCAAAAGACCTTTCCTTTTAATTTGATAACCTAATGGTCTTAGCTTGGCCTGGATATTTGACAGTGATCTAGGACTGGAATCAGCAAGCTACAGCCCATTATTCTTGGTTTGTTTTTATTGAGCTAAGAATGATTTTACATTGTATACAGCTATATATTTAAATGAGTTTATAAGTACCTACATACTTTCCTTGTTTTTGTTTGTTTGTTTGTTTGTTGCATCTTGACTTAGCTTGCATAGCCTCAAATATTTACTATCTAGCCCCTTAAAAAAGATTGCAAGCCCTAGGTCTAGGACACAGCAAGCATATAAAGAATGTTTCTTGAATGCATGGATAATAGGGAATGACAGAAAAGTCTTTAAGAAATATACAGCAGCTCAAGTAGTTCACCTGACCTAGGAGGTAATGTTTCCTAGCTAGGAAAAAGGCATTTCACTTTTCTTTACTAAATGGATTTTCTTCTTGCGGTGATTGATGTCAGGGGAGGAGAGCGGGGTCTTAAGAGGAATTCTTTCAAGAACTCTATCCTTTAACAGCTTGTAGGGAGCGGTAGCTGCCCTCCAGGAGTTTAGGGAAAGTTGCCATCTTGGTCTATTTCCCACTGAACTATGTTGTAGCTTGAGCCCTGCTTTAGCATTCCAAAGGGAGTGACTGGTGACATAAAAGATGTGCAGCAGAATGTTCAGGGCGACCCTCGTGGTGTCCCCACCTCTTCTCACCCACTCGCAAGACTGGGCATGTTTTCTTCTCCCTGGTACACTGGGAAGCTTTCTGTCAAGGGAGCTGAGGTTTTTACACTGAACTTCTTTTTAGTTTACCAAGAGAAGAATGGTGGTTTCAGACATTCATTGTTCCAGAAGTCCCCCTTCAGTGGCTTCGTTGGCAGTCCTCTGTGTCATTTCATAAAGCGCCACTGCAGATTTCTCTCCTTCCTTCTGGCAGTTGTTAGATATTGGAGAAATTTAAACAACTCGTAATTATTTGTTTTTAAGTTGAAGAGTCGTATTTCAACTAAATATCTTCACGTGCACTTATCTGCTTCTAGTCAATTAAACAGATTGTAAATTTTATATTTCATAAATTCCTGCCACTTAACTTTCAGTAAAATCTCAATTTTAGTGTAGATGCAAGCATCAGTTCTTTGTAATTGGGAAAAACATTGCTAGGATATCATTTTCTCGTAGCACTTTATATGTAACTTCTGTCTCAGGAGTTACACGAGATTGTTTTGTTTTATTTAGAGGACCACCTTCTCCATTGGTCTGTTAATTCTTAAAGCTGGTGTCAGTGTCTTCTTTCTTTATGTTTCCTGGTATGTCAACACACACAGTAAATATTTATTAAATGAAATAGTAAATGGACATGCATGCTCATATGTTCTTTGAAATGAGTGACCTGATCTTACATATCTTTCTTTATTCCAAACTGAAGGCTGAATATAAATGTACAAAATACCAAATTATAGACTCTATTCAGTTCTTACAGCTGAGGTTATAATAAATATCACACTGTCATTTTGACACAATAGCTCTTCGACTTGAATCTTCTTCCTATCTGTTTTTTTATTCTGTTGTCTCATTCACTCACTCATTCATTCATTCATTTTAAAAATATTTCATCCTCTCAACTCCCTGAATGACTGTAAGTCATTGTCCAGTGGAATGATTCAGTTTTCTTCTGTCTGCTCTTTCAAATACCCATCTTTCTCCTGTTTATGAGCAGGGTGACAACTATATTATGAACTAATTCTTGCCTGTCTTAAACATATTGCATTTTTTAAATTAGTAATGCTTCTATCATAGCATGGAGGACTGAGCTGTTTGTATATTCCTGTTACCATGGTGATATCCTGTAGCTGGAGTTTATAAATAGTTGCATACTGAACGTATAGAATATCTTTTATTATTTGTTTTATAAATATATTAATGCTAATCTTACAGAAGTGAACAGAATGGATAAATCTACACGACAGCATATGGGTTACCATCCTGGAAATAGTCTATTTTATGATTTTAACTAGAAGATGTTTTAGATTTTTGCTTGAAATTGTACCACTGCCTGAGTTCTCAAGCTGTCAGAATTTCTAGGATAACTGGATCTGAGTGAGTCCTCAGATGAAGTCTAGGGTGCGATTGGTAAGATCATGTCCTTCTCTCTGACTTCAGTTAGATCAGAACAAAGAAAAGGTATCTATTGTCAGTCAAAGTTTTGTTTCATTTTGTCAAAGGTTTTAGGAATCTTAACAGTTCCTCAGCAATTATGTTGATAGAACATATTTTTCACCAAATATGTAAAATTACAAACAAAATAAAGATTTGCATTCAGGGCGCCTGGGTGGCTCAGTGGGTTAAGCCGCTGCCTTAGGCTCAGGTCATGATCTCAGGGTCCTGGGATCGAGTCCCGCATCGGGCTCTCTGCTCAGCAGGGAGCCTGCTTCCCTTCCTCTCTCTCTGCCTGCCTCTCTGCCTACTTGTGATCTCTGTCTGTCAAATAAACAAATAAAATCTTTAAAAAAAAAAAAAAGATTTTCATTCAAAATGAAA